ATTTTGGAGATCACTGATTTATAGGGTCGCTATAAGCTGGAAGTGACTTAATAGTTAATACCACATAAAAAAACTTTCAGCAATAAGATTGTTAAACAGGAGATCCCATTTGCCTTCTGGTATAGCAACCAAACCTCCTACATATCTTTACTTTTCATTTATTACAATACGGTTGCATCCATATTGCCCCTCTGTCTACAGAAACTTGTCCAAGGTGGATGACAAAAATAAAATCCCCAAATAAAGTAACATATGTATACTACTATCCAAAAGTAGAAAAAAACATATAAAACTATTAGCCACTTAAAACCTAACTGAAGCAAGTAGAAATACAGAGCAGTAGAAAAGTCGGGTTACTTAACTGTAACCATGGTTCTTCAGGTGGTCATTCTGTGAATTCACACAAAAGGGTTAAGTCAGCGCCAGCGTCGGTCCTCTCGGAATGTTCTCGAGCTCTGTAGGAAAAGAAACATAGTTTAAGGCTGCCTATACTGCGCATGCTCCGTCCGCCCAAGTCTCAGTTCCATTTATCTGCCACAGATACGGAAGCATGAGCTATATATATTCAGTGACGGAAAGTGGGGAGGTCGGGCGGGATCGTGTGAATTCACAGAATGACCACTTGAAGAACCATGGTTACAGGTAAGTAACCTGACTTTCTTCATCATGGTCTTCGGTGAATGCACACAAAAGGGTGACTAGCAAGCTAACTCACCGGAAGGAGGGTCGTCACTGAAGGGCGGATGCCAACACAGCTCTTCCGAACCTTGTCTCCCTCTTAGCCCTCTGGTCCAATGGACACTTGAGACCAAGTGGCAGTCCTACAGATGTCAGTCAAATCGGCACCACGTAGTAAGGTTGTAGAAGAGGCGACTGCTCTGGTGGAGTGAGCATGTAGACCTTCAGGCGGAACCTTTTGTAGGAGTTCATAGGCCAAAGATATTGTAGAAACAAGCCATCTTGAGAGTGATGAGGATGACACTGGGAGACCTTTCTTTTGTCCAAAATAACACAGAAAAAGTCTAGGAGATAACCGAAATTCCTTAGTCCGTGAAACATAAAAGGCAAGCACTCTTCTGACATCCAAAGTGTGGAGCATGCGCTCTGTGTCATTGGCAGGTTCAGAGAACAAGGTAGGGAGTATAAGAGGTTGATATAAATGAAACTCAGAGACCACTTTGGGGAGAAACAAGACATCAGTGTGCAACACCACCTTGTCCTGAAAAAACTGTAAAAAAGGTTGATCAGCTCGAAGAGCGGCAAGTTCGCTGGCTCTGAGGGCTGAAGTTATAGCCACCAAAAATAAAGCTTTGATAGATAACATCTGATAGCTGCAATATAAACTTTCAAGGTAGAAATAGATAACTTGAAATCGAACAGGTGCCGCAGAAACTGCAACAAAGTAGAGAGGGTGACTGGACGTCAGGCGAGACCCCTAGATTCGGTAAACTTGAGAAAACTTCTCCACTTATACCCATATAGCAGAGAATTTGACGCCTTTTTAGACTTGTCTAGAATCTCCTTAATTTCGGGGATATCCTCCATGCAGTGAGATGTATCGTCTTGAGGTCCAGGTGGAAAACCTTGCCTGCATCCTGAGTGAGTAGAGCAGGAAAAAGCGGAAGTTTTGCAGAGTCCGTTGCCATTGATGCTAAGGTTGGAAAACACGACTGACGAGGCCAGAAGGGTGCCAGCAGAATTGCCTCTGCAGACTCTTGATGAAGTTTCACTAACGTCCTCTGCACTAATGGGAACGGGGGAACAGGTAGAGAAGACCCATGGTCCATGGTATCATGAAGGCATCCCCCATAGAACCTTGTCCCCAACCTGCCCTGGAGGCGTAAAGAGGGTGTTTCTTGTTGGTTCGAGTGGCAAAAATGCCCATGACAGGAGTGCCCCAGTGGCGGCACAAATCGTGGAATACCTTGGCACTCAGTTCCCACTTGTGCATCTGTCCCATGCAGCGACTCAAATCGTCGGCCGGTACATTGTCTTCCGTCGACACATGAACTGCCACGGGAAAATGTGATGCCGGTAACACCATTCCCAAAGCGTTACCGTTAGAAACAGCAGGGACTGAGAATGTGTGCCACCTTGTTTGTTTATATAGTACATGGTCGTGGTATTGTCCGTGACTACTTGTACCCCACGACCATGTACTAGGGGGGAAAAGGCTTTGAGTGCTATGATGACAGCCAGAATCTCCAGGTGGTTGATGTGGAGATTCTGTTCCTGAGCTGACCACCAGGCATGTATGCAATGCTGGCCGCAATGTGCCCCCCAACCTGTGGGACTTGCGTCCGTGGTGACTTGGACAGTCAAACAAAGAGGTCACAATGGTCGTCCTACTTGTAGGTGCGGCTCAAAACTCCACCATTGTAGCTGTTGCGCCAGCTCCGGTGTGACCCAAAGGCACTTCTCCTGATGGTGTTGGAGAGGGTCGAAGAGAGATAGAAGCCACACCTGTAGAGACCCGAGCTTCAGTCAAGCATGAGCCAAGCCTGGAGTTGTCGATGCCATAAGATCCAGGAGATGCTGAGCATGCAGTGTGGATACTGTAGCTCCTGCCCGAAACTTCTTTATAGCAGTCAGAATCTTTTGGATCCGTTCCTGTGGAAGAAAGATGTGGCCTTTGATAGCATCTATTGTGGCACCAATGTAATTTATGACTCTTTAGTGAATCAAATGAGATTTTTTGTAATTTACCTTGAGTCCTAGATTCTGAAGCACATGAAGAATAAATTTTGTGTCTTTCAGGGCCCTGCGTCTGGACGGCGAGACCACGAGCTAGTTGTTGATGTATTTTGTGTCTTTCAGGGCCCTGCGTCTGGACAGCGAGACCACGAGCTAGTTGTTGATGTACGGAAAAACATGGACACCATTTAACCTCAGGTAAGCTGCGACAGGTGCCATGCACTTTGTAAACATCCGGGGGGGGCGTCACAAGGCTGAATTGCCATGCACTTTGTAAACATCCAGGGGGGGCATTGCAAGGCTGAACGGAAGAGCCAGGAACTGATAAATGGCGTCTTGAAAAACAAATCAGGAATTTGCGGTGAGTGGGATGAATGTTATGTGAAAGTACGCGTCTTTCAGGTCTATGACCACGAACCAATCTTTTTGTTTCAGCAGATGGATGATAGACTCCAACGTCACCATTCGGAACCGACGTGGTCGAGGGTAAGTATTTAGGGTTCTTAGGTCCATGATAGGTCTTCTTTCTTCATCTTTTTTGGGAACGGCGAAGTACCTTGAGTAGAAACCGTTTGCAATGTCTCTTTTTGGTACTTTCTGAATAGCGTGTTTTTCCAACAAGGAGCAAACCTCCTCCTCTAGGGCAGGGTTGAATGATGTGTGTTCTACCTGACCTAGAGGAGGATATTCTATAAATTC